GCAGGAGGCTGCGGATGAGGCATCGGGCCTTGGGGGAGACGTGGTCGGGAATACAGAACTGCCCACGCCGGATTTTGGAAAACAGAGTGCTAGGGTCCGAGTCATGGAAGGGATAGCGTCCCACCAGCAGCAGGAGGCTGCGGATGAGGCATCGGGCCTTGGGGGAGACGTGGTCGGGAATACAGAACTGCCCACGCCGGATTTTGGAAAACAGAGTGCTAGGGTCCGAGTCATGGAAGGGATAGCGTCCCACCAGCAACGTATAGAGCATCACTCCCAAACTCCACACGTCGGCCGATTTTCCAGAGTAAGTCCCCGTGGTGTTTAGGATCTCGGGGCTGACGTACGCCGGGCAGCCGTGCTTGTCTGAGAGCGCATCGTCTTCGCCTTTGATGGTCTTCCAGGCTCTCCAGCCGCAGCTGAGTCCTAGGGAGAGCAGGAGAGGAAGCCACAGCTTAGAAATAGCAGCACGCAGGCACAGGCAAGCACGACGAGCCCCCCGCCACGGTGAGCCCCACTCCCCTTCTTACATCGGTGTAAAGAAAAGGAGAGGGAACACTTTTTAATTTGCAGCGGAGAAGTCGCCCGGACTCCTGGACCCAGGTAATGGAAGCGCAGCTACATGCATCGCGCAGGTGCTGAGGAACACCTGCTTAATGAATTTACTGAGGATTTTAACAGCACAGAGGGCTCTCGACGAACACCAGCAAGTCACCTTCTGTCTACACAGGCTGCACCGCAGCTGCCTGGGGGTTAATCGGCCACAAGGCACCGCACGCACCGCTGTTTGCGGTTCGGGCTTGGAGCAAACGGCGCCCGGCCCCGCGTGACTGTGCAAACCGCAAAGTCCGTCTCCCTTCCACGCTCACCGGCTCTCCTGAGTTTTGTACCTTATTTTTCAATTTTATTTTTTAATTACTATTGGTTTTGCCTTTCCAGAGGGTACCACTGCACCTGTCACCTCCTGGGTGGGGATGGGTCCACCCCGACCTCCCATTCTGGGGGGAAAAGGGGGTTTGGCACCAGCGCGGAAGCCCTGGGAGCCCTGGAAGGGCTCGGCGCCGCCGTGCACCCGCCGCCGGGGTGTAGATGCGTTGGCTGCAGCCTGTCCTCAGCGTGACCTCGTCAAATACCCATTGGTTCTGCAAACGGAAAATATGACTCAACACGACCCGTGGGCCCGGGATTGGCTGCGGGAGCCCTGAAACTGCACCTGTGCCGGAGAGCCCGAGTCCGCCTGCCATTGCTTAACCCTCTTCTTGCCAAATGGGATGCACATGACACTCGCCTGTGCAACGCGTTATTTCCAAACGAGCGAGACTGTGTGCAATGTAACATTTCAACAAACGTTTCAGCTTCTTATGGGCGGGAAAAGCTGCAATAGTTTCCTTCAAAAGAATTGCTTTCTTTGCATGTCAACATACGGTTGTTTCAGCTCAAGAGGGGCAGTGCTGGTTAATTTTCTTATCATGTTCATAAACGATATCCTGAAGAAGCGTTAGCCCAGTGAAAAAAAAAAAAAAGAGTTTCTTCTGCCTCAGTAATATAATCTCCAGTTTCGTCAGATTAAGCACAACTCCATTACAGCTTTTACTTATTTTTTTAGCTTTCCACAGGGTACACAGCTCGTCAGTCAGTTTCGCTGATTAAAAATGTATTTCTGGCTCTGCCACGTGTGGTGAGGTACTACAAGAGCAGCAAACACTCCAGGGAAACACTGAATTATTTCCATAATCTAAATTTAACAACTAGATCTCCTTTCCACAAACCTAGGCTTTAGGCTAAGTTTTACCAAAGTGCTTTTCTTCCTTGCAGGATTCCCAAAGCAGTAGTTAACCGTGTCCCACCTTCCCTCCTGCATGTGCCCACATCCATGGGCTCAGGGGGCACAAAAAACACTGTCACTGGTAGTGGAGGAGGGATAAAAGCCTGGAAGGACGCACTTTCATTAGCAGCATCACCCTGACCAGGAGGGGATTTCAGCAGAGACCCCTCCTGAGCACCAGAGCTTGGCCCCGGGGCAGCTCTCCCAGGCCTGAGGAGGGACCAGAGCTCCAGCTCCTCACCCCTCCTGCTCCCCTAGCCCCGGCACAATGCCTCAGCCTCCCTCCTCTCCTTCTCGCTGCCTTTCAGTCACTCCACACTGAATGAGTGGCACACATGACATCTTCTGGTGCTACGGAGCATCCGAACTATTGTCCCTTCCTCTACCAGTGGGTTTCACTGAACTTCTGCTGAATGAAAAATCGAAACTTTCATCAGACGAGATGTAACTAAGAGTAAGCGCGCACCGGTTAGATCCATGACCTACTACACACACGCAACAGGGTCCTACTCGGATCCCTCACAGGTGATGCCCATCCGACACGGCCGTTTCCACTCCTTGGGACGCTTTTTGCGTCTCTGGATGTGGCATTGCTCTCTCCCCCCTCACCCCAGGGCTGGCTGGTGACAACCGCTTACCTTTCTTCATTAGAGAAGACAAATTTCCTGAGCTTGAGGTCACCAAGTACGATGGCCGACTGGTGGCAGTGGGCTACAGCGGAGACGATCTGCTTGAAGAGCCGGGCAGCCTCCTCTTCCCTCAGCCTCTTGCAGCTCCTCACATAGGAGTGCATGTCCCCAAAGTCCTTTTCAAAGAACACATAGGCCTTGGTGTCCCCGAGGATGACTTCGACAACCCCGGTGATGTTTCTGTGTGACGGCAGCTGAATGTAAGGCCGGATCTTGTCCTGGTAGTGTTTGAGGGGGAACACCTGTAAAGAGGAGATTAAACCAAAATTCATTCTCAAGGGCGTTGAAAGCAGCCGCTCGCGTAGCAACTCTCCCCAAACAATGACGAGGGAGCTGGAGGGGAGCCAGAGCTCGGCAGGAGCGCGGCTCAAAGCGGTTACCGAGACCCTTCCTGTTCATTTCATATTGAAAAAGGGGGAGAAAAAAATAAATAAAACAAACTCCCATCCCCAAAGCCTTTTGGGGAAGCTTACTCCGAGGTAAACCCGAGTTACAGCTTACTTCCCGAGCACGTAAACCCCCACCGGCGGTGGGTCAGCCGTTTCTAACCGGGGAGCGGCGGGAGGATGTTTCACAAGGCTCTCCGCCGGGTCGA